TTCCGCCGGAAATCCGCCGGAAATGTTAAATTTTCAAAAAAAAATTATTTATTTTTCCGCCGGAAATCCGCCGGAAAATTGTTTATTCTTTTTTTTAGAATTTTTTTAATTTTCCGCCGGAAATCCGTCGGAAATGTTAAATTTTCAAAAGAAAATTATTTATTTTTCCGCCGGAAATCCGCCGGAAATTTGTTTATTCTTTTTTTAGAATTTTTGTTTATTTTCCGCCGGAAATCCGCCGGAAATTTTAAATTTTCAAAAAAAAATTATTTATTTTTCCGCCGGAAATCCGCCGGAAAATGGTTTACTTTTTTTTTTTTAGTTTTTTTAATTTTCCGCCGGAAATCCGCCGGAAATTGCTATATATTTTTTAAAAATATTTAATTATCCGCCGGAAATCCGCCGGAAATTCGTCGGAAATTCGCCGGAAATTTACCGGCGGATTTCTTCCGCCGGAAATGGCGCCGGAAATGCTCAGTTTTCTAGTAGTGAATCCCGTCCTAAAAAATATTGAGTCTGTCATTGTTGATTTCTTGATTACTTGATGATATGTCGATTGAATGATTAATCTGAGTTTATCAATTGGTATCAGAGCATATTACAACAACTCAATATCAGAATTTGAAACAAATTTGATGGATTTCTTGAAGAATTTCTGAATTTTCTTGATCGAACTTTTCTGTCCAAAATTTTCAATTTCAACATCAAATTCTTGATGATTTTGAATTGAATTTTGATTGGAATTTGTTTAGAAACACTTTGTAATTGAATTGTGGTGTTTGATTTAATCAATTTGCAAGAAATCGGAGTTTTACTTGGATTTTTTGGTGTTGGACAGTTACAGAGTGTTCTTGAAGTTTTTTTTTTTTGATTTTGATCAAATTGGCTAGTTTTGATCTGTTTTTGACAAAATAGTGTTCACAAAACTTGTTTAGAGTTCATTTTCGAGAGTTCTGTGCTGGCTTTAATTGCAATTTTTTAGTTTTGCGAATTTTTTTGTTGAATTTGTTCAAGTTTCTGTCAGATCTGAGTATATCACGTGTTAAAGATTGCTTTGAGCGATGTTCATCAAGAACATCGCTCGTTGAAGTTTTTGTTAAGATTTGTCTGATCTTTTGAAGATATTGTTCGTCTGGTAAGCAGATTTTGGTTATATCGCTTAAGTCAAGCGATTTTTGAAAGTTGAAGTTGTATCCGATATTCTCTTGTATATCGCTTAGGGCTCAAACGATTTTTGTGTATATCGTTCAAGTATCAAACGATATTTGAAGATATCGCTCAAGTATCGAGCGATTTTCGTATCAAGCAACTTAAGTATCGAGCGATATTCGTTTCAAGCGGTTTGGTTTTCGTATCGTGCAATATCTGTGCCAAGCAATATTTGTGTCAAGCGATTTTCTTCTAGTTGCGGGAGAAAATTAATAAAAACATACACCTTCCTTTTCTTCCGAATTTTGAAAACACGGTCTAAGTTTTCTTCAAAAACCTTTCTTTCAGACGTGGGAGGAAAGAGAATGAAAAGAACGAAATCATAAATTTTCTCTCAAAACTTTTTCTTTCACTTTCAAAACACAACAAAAAGATTATTTTTATTTCCTTCTTTTCCATCTCTTCCTTTTTTTTTTTTTTCACATATTCGACGAGGAATGGAGAAAATTAATAAAAACATTTTGAATTTTACAAATGTTTGAAAACGTAAACTACACCGCTATAATTTAGATTTGGTATCGAGTTTAACTATACCGTTATAATCAAGTCCCCTAAGGCTTTAAGTTCTTATAACATTATAACTTTTATTCTTAATGTTTTATGGCTTTTACTTGGGCCACGAACTTCTTATAAGTTTAGTTTGACCTAAATTAAGTCCATTGTCCCTCCCTTTTCAATTTCATCGACCGAAGACGTCTTTGAAGCCAATCGACTCCATTCCTCGACCTCAGACTACAGACAAAGCTTCTTTAATCATACAGAGCCTCGTATTAGTACAATGTTCAGTCGAAAAAATTGGTAAGCATCCTCTGAACCTGTAGAACTCGATAATATGAAAAAAGACATTGTCTTGACAAATCTGCAAGGGAGTTTTTGACGTTTCATTGTCTTTCTAGATTAACGTGCTTGTACCAGGAGAATCCGGTATGAACACGTTGAACATCCGAGGTGGGATGGTGGGGGGTTCTGATGGCAAGTTGATGGTCGATAAATACTGTTGATGGTCCATTGAAACAAGTACAACACAAGATGGCTTTTTCATTCGTTCATATGTTATTATTTTATTTTCTGTTTTGTAAGTTCTTTTTTCAGTCACGGTTTTACTACTTTGTAACTCAAATATAAACATAAAATACATGAAACTAATATTGTATTATTGTTCTTGTACATTGTATTATTGATCTCAGACACGAAACCTACAAGGGTAATTTTGTCTTTTTCACTTGACATATAGGAAAAACTTTAAACTTGAAGAACTCATAAAAAAACAAGATTTCCTCTTGGGATATGCTTCTTCTCTTGTATCTTAAAGAAACCATAACCAAATTAATGTTGATGGTCGTCGGAAACCACCACTTCCACCTCAATATTTTCTGTTTTATTCGGTTTCTCGACCAATTCCGAACTAGATTGCTTCTTGGAATCCTTGTATACAGAATAAAGAACCATTTGAGTGATCCCGAATATAAATCCAACAACATTTGGCACCTATCAATGAAAACCGGCATATTAGATCACGAACCAAAAAACGAATATTGTAGTGACGAAAAAAGGGTGCCGCAATGGTTCTAGCTACTTACTGCTATGAAGTAGTCATTTACGAAGAAGCCATAGAAGAACCACGAGGTGGCACATAGAGTGCGTGAGAAAGAGAGCATGAATGGCATGTACTCGATACTTTTCGTTCGTATCACTTTCCTCTGCATAAAAAGATGGTGTCTTGGGTCAGCCACAAAACAAGTCTTTCGCAACGGTTTGAATTCCGATGGGTATTTTATGTTATTACCATGATGCTTAGAGGAGCGGCAAACACAGCAAGATTGATAACGGCAAGCATCTACCTTTTAGTGTTATCGTGCTGTAGAGCTACAAAACCACAAAAAATACGTAAATATCGAACACCCATAGGGATACCCGACTAACAAGATGTAGAAAAGTACGAAAAAAATTGGTAATCATCCTTTTGTTTCCACTGGTTTCTTGAACAAGGCACCATATACGCACAGATAATTGCACAAAAATGATAAAAATCTCACCCGTTTGAAGAAGCTATAACCTTCACTTTGTTCTGTAATCGTCAACGGCACACCATTACATCTCATTAATAGTTAAAGAAGTATACAAATGCAACCAAAAAAATGTGATTCAGTTATTTTTATAACTATCTATATTTTTTTCTATAAATTATTTATAAATAATGAAATCCAATTTCATTCCAAATCCTACAAACAAAACACACCAATAACTTCAAATCCATTCCGATCCAAATCCAAATTCAAATCCGTTCATGAAATCCAAATACCTCAAAAACAATTCTTCAAACCAAACGGACCCTTAGTTGTCCAAGTCAATGTGAATTTTTTGAGGGAAATTCTTTTAAGGAGTGAAGAATTGTAACGTCCCGATTTAGAGGATAGATGTTTTATACTTCTAAAAAATGCAACATCTTGATCACGTCAAGCTACGATGAATTTTTCATTAATTTGAAGAAAAACTTTAGACGATCTCAACAATGTAATTAAATTTGTGTCAAAAATTATGTAAATAAAGGGGGCGTTTGGGATTGCTTATTTGAAATAAGTTATACTTTTCTACAAAAACACTTATCAACTTATTATAAGTCAGAAGGATTTAACTTCTTCAAAAACTCCTTACTACCGGTTTAATACCGGTATAAGTTGTTTATCCAAACATTCAAAAAATATTTGTAACCAATACCATACCGAAATAAATCAATAAATTGTTTTTATAAGCAATCCTAAACACCCAAAATACCAAACGGTGCAAGTTTGGATTAGTGGTGAATTGAAATATATCTAACTAGGCGTCATACCCTCAAATTTATCATGTAGATGATTTATATGACAGTCACGTATAAGGTGACTCATTCCCGAAATATATATGACATGTCATCTTATGAAAGGGTTTGCAGAAACCACATGCATGAGAGTATTAGTTCACACCGCCTCTCAGCTATGGAGTTGGTTATCGACCTCTGAACCATTCTACGCTCCAACTAAATTCATGAATGCAATCTAAATACTCTAACTTTATTTGCAGTTGTCATTACTTTCAAGACGTTAAGATGGGAACCGGTGGCCGGATGAATGATGCTACCACCGACAAATACGTTCTGAAACGTGTTCCTACTGAAAAAACACCATTTGAGTTGAGTGATGTGAAGAAAGCAATACCACCACACTGTTTCAACCGATCTCTTCCAACCTCTTTCTACTACCTTCTTCGTGACATGATCGTATGCTACACGTTTTACCATCTTGCATCGAACTACATCCCTCTCCTCCCTAAACCCATCACTTACATAGCATGGCCAGTTTACTGGTTCTGCCAAGGTTGTAGTTTCATGGGTTTACATAACTTAGCTCATGATATGGGACATAATAGCTTCAGTGAGTATTCGTGGCTTGATGACGTACTTGGTTTCGTCATCCATTCCTCTTTCCTCACTCCATATTTTTCTTTCAAATACAGCCATCGTAGCCATCACGCCCACACCAATTCAATAGAATACGATGAGGTATGGATCCCCAAAAGGAAGACCGACACCTTGTATTCCGAGATCCTCAACAATCCATTGGGCAACTTGTTCATGTCTCTCGTTATTCTACTTATCAGCTATCCCATGTACTTTGCCTTCAATCTTAATGGCAGGAAATACGATGGCTTCGCAAGTCACTATTACCCACAAAGTCCTCTTTTCAATGACACGGAGCGTAAACAAATTTGGGTCTCTGATGCCGGAATTCTTTTAGTTCTGTATGCACTTTACCAGGTTGCAACAACCGCAGGGGCACAATGGTTGTTTTGCATCTATGGAGCTCCTTTGTTGGTTATGAATGGGCATTTCATGTTTCTCACTTTTCTACAACATAACCACCTTGGACTTGCTCATTATGATTCAACCGAATGGGATTGGATAAGAGGTGCTTTGTCGACAGTCGATAGAGATTATGGAATATTGAACAAAGTTTTTCATGATGTAACATGTGCTCATGTGGTACATCATTTGATCCCAACTATTCCACATTACCATACGGTAGAGGTCACCAAGGCTATTAAGCCCATCTTAGGCGACTACTACAAGCACGATGACACCCCAGTCCTGAAGGCTTTCTGGAGAGAAATAAAGGAGTGCATTTATGTTGAACCAGATGAAGGTGCACAGAGAACTGGTGTTTACTGGTTTCGTAGGTAGATTCCACAAGTGACATCTATCATGCCAAGATTGAGGCACTAGCTGCGCCCTTACTAGTTACTAGTTTGTGTTTTTCTTCGATGTTAATGTAATATAATAATGTCAATGTTGTTTTCTCCATTATTCATTTAAGTTTTTGTTAAGTAGTAAGCTAGACGGTTAGTTTGGTTGAGTAGTTATTAATAAATAAACTGCCATCGTGTAACCGCCATGTAAAGGGTTGCGATGGTTCTTGGTATATATATATATATATATATATATATATATGTGTGTGTGTGTGTGTGTAATTGACTTGTTGCTTATAATGTTGATGAAAAAGTTTTACGTTCAAAAGGAAACAATTTGTGTACAAGTCTCTTACATGCAGCAATATTCCTGCATGGATTAGGAAGTCCAGATTTCTACAACAAACTGGTATCAGAGTCCCGGGTTAGGATTCTTGTCAGCGTTGGTAAAGATCTGGTATTTTAGAGGGTACATGGCTTCACATAACAACTTTTTGCAGCCACATCTTCCGAAATTGAAAGGGAAGAACTACCATCATTGGAGCATCCAAATGAAGGTTTTGTATGAGTCTCAAGATCTGTGGGGGGTAGTCGAGAACGAGATAACAGAACCCGTGACTCAGACCGATATGACGGCACAATAGATCACGAAAATATGAGACAACAAGAAGAAAGACAATAAAGCACTGTTTTATATATATATATATATATATCAGTCCGTAGAAGATAAGATTTTTGAACGAATCTCAACGGCAATATCGTCCAAAGATGCGTGGGATACGTTGTACAAATTCTATAGAGGTGAAAAACGGGTTAAGACGGTATGTCTCCAAACACTCAGATGCAAGTTTGATGGATTGAAAATGAAGGAAACAGGCTCGATAGAAGAATTCTACAATCGTTTGATCGCAATCGTTAACCAGATGAGGTTGAATGGGGAGCGACTTGATGATCAAAGAATTGCGTAAAAAATATTGAGATCTCTTACACGTAAATTTGAGTACGTGGTTGTCGCAATAGAGGAGTCCAAAGATCTTACAAGACTTCCGTTGGAAAGCCTTCTCAGGACACTACAGTCCCACAAACTGCACATAAAACAATTCGAGACACCTGCTATTGATCAGGCCTTTCAAGTTGCTTCAAATGACAAGAATAAACGAAGAAACAATAATAAGAATAAAGGATCAAACAAGGGGCATGGAAGGGACTCGAACAATGAACACAATCAAGAAGATTAAGGAAAAAGCTTCAAAGGGGAAGGAAAGAAACCTTTGTCTGAGATACAATGTTATAATTGCTAGAAATTTGGTCACACTAAGAAGTTTTGCAGGCAAAAGAAATTTGAAGAAAACAAAGATTCCACTTTTATGCATGAGAAGGAAGCCAAAGAACCGGAGACTATATTCATGACAAGTGACACTCAATCCATCATCGATATTGGAACATGGTACGTGGACAACGCCTGCAGCAACCACATGACAGGGATCGAAGACATATTCGTTACCTTATATGAATCACACAACAGCGAAGTACGGACGGGTGATGAAAGGAAACATAAAGTTCAAGGTAAAGGTGATATTATGGTTAATACATATCATGGTGCAAAGAAAATTAGTGATGTGTATTTTGTTCCCGCACTCAAGCACAATCTCTTAAGTGTTGGACAATTGATCCAGAAAAACTACGATGTTCATTTCGTTGATAGAACTTGTGTCATTAAAGACCCAAATGGTAATGTCCTAGGAAAGGTCAAGATGACTAATAATAAGATGTTTCCACTGAAGTTTAACAAGGAAGGTCTTTCTGCATTTAGCACGCGAGTAAACGAAAAACCAAATCTTTGGCACTTAAGGTTTGGTCATTTGGGACACAACACTCTGATGTATATGAGCAAGGCTCGTATGGTTCGTGGACTGCCTGTGATTGAAGACACCTCTCATATATGTGAGGCTTGTGCCTTAGGAAAACATGTGAGAACACCTTTTCCTAAAGAGAAGGCTTGGCGTGCAACGAAGCTCCTGGAACATGTCCACATTGACATTTGTGGACCCATGAGGACGGAATCAATTGGAGGTAATCGGTACGTTTTAACCTTTATTAATGACTTAAGTAGGAAGACTTGGGTATAGTTTTTGAAAGAAAAATCCCAAGTGTTTGAAACTTTTAAAACATTTAAGTCCCTTGTTGAGAAACAAAGGGATTACGAGATCAAGTCCCTACGATCAAACAATGGAGGTGAGTTTACATCTCACAAGTTTGAAGCTTCCCTAAGAGAGTGTGGAATAAAACACCAGAAATCCACTCGGCACACACCACAGCAAAACGGTGTTGCCAAGAGAAAAAATCGTACCTTTATGGAGCTTGCGAGAAGCATGATCAAGCATATGGGACTTCCCAACAAATTCTGGGCGGAAGCAGTGGCATGTGCCATTTTTGTGTTGAATTAATCATGTACTCGCAGCATGAAAGGTATGACACCGCAGGAAGCATGGAGCGGATTCAAACCATGTATATCACACCTTAAGGTGTTTGGCTGCATCACTTTTTGTCATGTTCCTATTCCAGGACGTGGTAAATTGGATGACAGATAAGTGAAATGCATTTTTATTGGATATAGCAAAGCCTCAAAGGCATACAAGCTATATGATCCAATTAAAGAACAACTGGTCATTAGCAGGGACGTGATATTTGCTGAGGATAAGGCATGGGATTGGATGAACAAATCAGATGTGGTACCAGTCATAATCATGGAAGAGGATGCTTTGCAACCTTCAATGGAAGCCATTGATACAAACGTTCACACCCCCATCAACAGTCCGATCAGTCCAGTTGTTTCTCAGCCCTCCTCTCCTTCAAGTCCCTCTTCCAGTTCAACAGATTTCCCTCCACGTGAATATAGAAGCATTCAAGATCTGTACCAGAACACTCAAGCGATAAATCATGCAGAAGTTGTTGACTTTGCATTATTCGTCGACGCAGATCCGATGGACTATAAGGTCGCATCTAAGAGCAAAAAATGGAGGGAAGCAATGAATCAAGAAATGGATTCAATACTAAAAAATGATACATGGGATCTGGTGGATTTACCCATGGGTCAAAAGCCAATAAGGGTCCAGTGGGTCTATGAGACCAAGCTCAAAGAAAACGGAGAGATCGAGAAGCACAAGGCACGTCTTGTGGTGAAGGGGTACAAGCAAAAACACGGGATAGATTACAATGAAGTCTTTGCCCCGGTAATACGGTTGGAAACTATTCGATTGGTTGTAGCCTTGGCAGCCCAGCATGGATGGATAATACATCAAATGGACGTCAAGTCGGCGTTTTTAAATGGATACTTAAATAAAGTGGTGTATATCGAGCAACCCCCTGGTTATGTAAAGGAAAATGAAGAGCACAAGGTATGTAGACTCAAAAAGGCTCTATACGGACTAAAACAAGCACCACGAGCTTGGTAGAGTCGTATAGATACATACTTTATGCAACATGAATTCAGGAAATGTCCTTATTAATACACTTTGTTCATAAAGATAGTAAAGGGTGAATTTTTGTTTGTGTGTTTGTATGTGGACGATCTCATCTTTATGGGAAATAGTGGAAGTCTAATTAGTGAATTTAAGAACTCAATGAAAGCTGAGTTTGAGATGACAAATCTTGGTCATCTCCATTATTTCTTGGGTATCAAGGTCAAGCAAAGAGAAAATACGATTGCTATTTCACAGAAAAAGTATGCCTTGGATGTACTAAAAAGGTTTAAGATGGAAGATGCTACGCCTAATTCTATACCTATGGAGTTTGGTCTTAAACTATCCAAGGAGTCAACGGACAAACCTGTGAACCCAAGCCTATTTAGGAGTCTTGTGGGGAGCCTCGTGTATTTGACGGCCACACGACCTGACCTTATGTATGTTGTTAGAACAATAAGTAGATTCATGGAGGCTCCAAAGCAATGTCATTGGGAAGCAGGGAAGAATATTTTGAAGTGTATTAAAGGAATTTCTGATCATGGGATCGTATATCAAAGGTAAAGGAACCAAAACTGGTTGCATACTGTGACATTAACTTTGGGGGTGACATCGATGATAGCAGGAGCACAGCAGGGTATATATTAAGCCTGGGTTCTGGAGCCGTGTCATGGCAGTCAAAGAAGCAAAAGGTTGTAGCTTTATCAACGACAGAGGCGGAATACATGGCTATTTCATTTGTTGGATGTCAGGTGAAATGAATGAGAGGATTACTCAGCGAGTTATAGCAGCCTCAATTGCATCCTACTTTGATAAACTGTGACAACAAGTCTGCAATTGCTCTTACTAAAAATCCAGTCTTCCACAACAAGAACAAGCACATTCGCCTTAAATACCACTTTATTCGTGAACTGGTGAAACTCGGAGAAGCTGAACTTTTTTTCTGCAAAACCTCTGATCAAATAGCTGATGTTTTCACTAAGACTTTGAAGACTGGAGATTTCAAGAAGATGAAACAAAAGTTGGGAGTAACAAAGGTCTAGCTTAAGGGGGAATGTTAAGTAGTAAGCTAGACGGTTAGATTGGTTGGGTAGTTATTAATAAATAAACTATCATCGTGTAACCGCCATGTAAAGGGTTGCGATGGTTCTTGGTGTATATATATGTATTGACTTGTTGCTTATAATGTTGATTGAAAAAGTTTTACGTTATAAAAGAAACAATATGTGTACAAGTCTCTTACATGCAGCAATATTCTTGCATGAATTAGGAAGTCCAGATGTCTACAACAGTTTTCCTCTTGTAGATGGTAATGTTATCTTCTTGGCATGCTTTGTAATATTTTTGTGATATACATGTTCCTATTGAATGGTAAGCTAGACATAGTGTCCAGTGTTAGGAGTTAAGTCTGAACAGTTGTCACTCAAGGGGTGCATCGGTTGTAACAGTTGTAAATGTTATGAACCATTGCCTTCCAAAGGGTATGGCAGTTATGGCCATCTATATATATATATATATATATATAGGGAAGGGT